CCGCGTCTTATCCGTTATCATCGTCGTCATTATAGTCGTGGTGATCGTGATCGTGGTTGATGTCGACGTCAACGTTATCCTCATTTTCATCCTCATCTTCATCCTCGTCATTCACTCGTCCTTGTTCGATCGTTCTCGAAAAATATCTCGAAGCCGCCGACGACAATACCACCGCACGTTATAACGACGACCATGATAACCACGATCATGACGACGACGACGACGACGACGACGACGACGACGACGACGACGATGATGATGATGATGATGATCACGATCACGACGGCGACGGCGACGACGATGGCGAGGAACGTTGACGAATACGAGGAGAGGGAGGGAAGCGTAGTGTGCGCCGGAGAGGGGGCAGCGAGCGATGCCCCTCTATTTCTCTCTCTCTCTTTTTTTCTCTATCACGCCATAACGATACTCAGACCGATTCGCGGTACGCCTAACGATCGTTGGAAATTAGCTGCCCTTGTCACCGCGCGCGCGACCCGACCCAACCCGACGCATGCTCTACTTGCGAGGTTTTCGTAGCGGCATGATTTCATCCCGCGCCGAAACCTCTCTTTTCTTTCTCTCTCACTCCCTCTCCCGCTCTTCCTCCTTCCTACTCTCCGTATCCCCGCAAGCGTCCGCCCGCGCACGATCGAAGACGAGCGCATCGCCACCGATCGGCTACGATAGCGGCGACGGCAACGACGACGACCTCGTGTTTCTTTTGTCCCTCGTATTCGACCACTTCGCTCGTTTGTTTACGTCGCCTATGTAGCAGCGTGCGCGCGCGAGTGCATGTGTGCATGTATGTGTGTATATGAAATGTATATACACGCGCGCACAGCACGTTGCATTTTTCGCGGGAATCACTTTGGAGGAGGAGCGAGGAGTCCTCCGCTTCGGTTCTCTTCTCACGTGGTTTTTCTCTTTCTCGCTTGTTCTCTCGACAAGAGAAATTGTCGTTTCTCTTTTTCTCTCTTCGCCACGCGCATCGGCCGGAAAGCGGTCGACGACGCGTATCGATCTGCCGGTTCGCGTCGATTAGACGTAGCTGGCGATGACAATGACGACGACAACGACGACGACGACGACGGCGGCGGCGGCGACGGCGATGCTTCTGTCAGCGTGAACCTACTTTTCGCGCGGAAATCCGCCGCGCAGCGAAACCGATATAATCTCGACGTGATAGAGAAAGAAAAAGCGCGAAAAAGACTTCTATCCATCTATATTTATCCTTTGATCGGTTTTCAATTATACCGGTTTCGATCCCCGTCGGCTCTCGAGATCGGAGTGGTTAGGAGTAACGGCATCCTATGCGTTCCCTTTGCGCGCGTGAGGCGCGATGTCGAAAGCGTGCAGGAGGACGCGTGTTCATCGTTACGTATTATACGTCGCGTTTACGACCACGAGCGTCCAACGATTCGCCACGCTGAAGCCGCGTCGGTGTTGGAGATTGTGTGCCAAAAGTATGTGGCACGGATAGTAGTAGTGGTAGTAATAATGATAATAGTATAGAGCGCGATGGCGGCGGGTCGCGCGGTGGGTCGACGATGTTGGGAAGGACGCGGGCGCCGGGGCGGAAGGGGGCGGGGTATAATATTAAACTCGCTAGATGCCGCCACCGTTGGCGGCGTCCTATCTCTATTTCTCTCGGTTCGTCGCGCTGTCCTTGTTGCCAGCCAGCAATGTGAAACGGCAGCAAATACCGAAGCTGCGTGGAGCGCGCCAGCAACGGCATGCCGATTTTAAAACGGGAAACATATATCGCGCAGTCCTTGCGATCCGCGGTTTTTATCGCGGTTCCGTCACTTCTTGCATTAGCATTATAGAAATAAAACGATCGCTTTAGCTCAAGTTAAAATTAGTCTTGTTGCATATTTATTGAGCACTTTATTGAGCACTTTATTGAGCATTCAATAATTCCTTCTTTATTGAGCACTTTATTGAGCATTCCTTGAGTAATTCCTTCTCACCAAAGATTCTTTCTCATGTTACTTATTGTTATTTATATCCATTGCGATTTACTTTCTACATTAGTATTGTATGTATGTGACAAGCTACAGTTATATGATAATTTAAATGAAAAATAATTTTTTTAATTATTGATAAATTTATTTTGATTGTAAACTGTATATTTTTATCATTTATTTGATTTGCAAAGCAAAAAAAGAATTAATATATGACTCGTTTTATACATAGAATACTTATATTAGATTAATATTATATAATGGAAACATTAGCTAAGTTTGTATTATTATTTTTAGGGAAACAAAAGTCACTACTCCTCAGAAGAAAGTAGTGGAAGAGGAAAAGGTAGTAGTGCCAGAGGAAATTGATGAGGATTCGAAGGCATCTGAAAATGGGGATGCAAAGGAAACCAAAGAGAATGGCTCGAGCGAGGAGAAGGAAACAGATGAAAAAGAAGCAGAATCTACGGAAAATGGAGACTCGACAGGTATGTTATTACTTGACTTGAGATATTTTTGACGTTTAGAAAAAAAGATTTACGATATGATAATATATGACTTTTTTTTGCACGCTCTCGTAGATGCTCCCGCCGACAGTTGCTGCGTAAAGAGGAAATCAACGGCTGCGGCTGATGCGGCAGAGGATGCAGCAGATGGTGCGAGTCCTGAGAAGAAGTCGAGACTCGAGGAGAAGTGCGCCGAGGCTGAGAATAACGGCGATGCGGAGGAGGCCACGGCCTAATATTCTCTCATGTTTATTATTGACAGACAGACCTAATCTATAGATGCAATTTTAACTTTACCGAGTGTGAAGCCAGAGCAGATCATCTGTGCATTTTCAGAGAAAGGATGGCGAGCATAAAAGAAAAAAAAGAAGAAAAAAAAACAAACATTTTGACGTTTATTGCATTAAGAACTTTCTGTGTTCAGGATGATTGTGTGTGTCTCCCATAATACTTGCAATTGTTAATTGGCAATAGCAACACGAGTCGATTTTTCCGAGAAAATATCGCGATTATTATATTTGACTAATGTAATGTAAAGCGTAAACAAATCGTGTTCTCTGTACTGGCATCCACGTGCATACATATTATATATTCACTTAGCGTTAGAATCGTAAGAAATAAGGAAATATACCCCGATAACGTTTAGAAATAATATATTTCTAATTCATCAAAAACAAAATGATGGTGCGGTGTCTGAAAAATGGGTACATTTGCGCAGCATGATATTTCCACCTACTTGCTAGTCCTCATTGTTCCGACGCACGGACACATTGTAGCTTATATCTATAGACACATACACACCTTGGACTATACATCGGAGATAGAATACGGATATTTTTCTGCGAATCAAAATACATTCCCGAAAATAGATTAACTTGTAAAGTTATGACTGTTCGCCGACAAAAACTGAAGAGAGCGCCATTTCTACAGATAACACTAAACTGTGTGTTTCACTGTATTTTATTTATGTAAATCTCGTAACTTTTGCAAAAAACAAAGAAACCGATCATTTATCTAAAGTTAGGTAAATTGTAACACGTTAAACTCTTACTAATGCAAGATATATGTTCATAAAGAAATTTTTTTTCTTTTTTTTCAAATGACAGAGAACACTTTCGAAGAGAGTATGTTCAACATAGAACAAATACATGATTTTAAAAATCAAATCGGTCGTGGTCTTTTAAAAAAAAAAAAAAAACGAAAAATATTTTTTTTATATTACATGCAGCACGATATAAGACATAGTCTTACCTCAATTCAGATGTTGTACCTATATATGTATAGAAACACTGATGAATGAAAAGATTTATTTTGAATTTTGCTATGATATAGAACAAATATTGACAGTCATTCGATATGAGAAATTACAGTTGACACAAAACCAAAAAATTACGAAATTCGTTTGATGTATTTAATCGAAACTGATAACTAATTTGCATGTTATTCAAAATTATCAGATGATGTCAGGTGTAAGTCGTCGTTTTTTTTAGTTTGTAACGCATTAGCTTCAAAAAGCGCAAATATTTTATTTATCATATTTCGGTGACAATGTGACAATAGTTCATATAATTTTCAGTATCATTATTTTGCTTCGTATGTAATACATGTCGATCAGTGAGGGTAATAACATGTATGTTTAAGATTTAAAATGGTAAAATGTGTTCAACAGCTAATACAAATAAAGATGGTTCTCTATATTTTTTCTTCAATAATGATATAACCCAAGTCAGATTTTTACTCCTCGAAACCAAATAAATTATTGATATAGAAACTAATCTGGAAAGAAAAGAAAATCTAGCAAAGACAGATTTAGATAGTTTCTTGTTGCTTTGGTTATAGTAGCAATCTTTATAAGGAGTTTACTTTAAGAGAAGATTAATACTGCAATTTATTTCTAGTTATAGAATTGAGTTTACTTTTTGAATATTTTTTGTCTACGGTGGAACATTGTCTCGTTAAAAAATCCTAATGTAAATGAAAACAGTTCCAAAAATTAAGTCTTACTTTAGTATTACATTATTTAATAAAACATTTAGCGTTTTAGTTTTTCAAATTGTAAAATATCTTCTACATAGATAAGCAATATCATGCCGATAAAAATTAAAAGATATATAAAAAAATAATTTTCTTGTATAATATTTTTAAATATTCATTTAATTCTACTCTTAGTTTTTTTTCTAAATACTTAGTAAAATCATGCCATAAACTGTTTAGTAAATGAATGGTTTTGAACAAAAAATGCATATAAACGCATTTAATAATAGCATGTCGAGTTAATTTTATAAGTTAATTTTATTTGTCCTTTGTAAATGAACTTTTTATATTGTTTTTATTCTTTCTATTCAATGTTTATACATTTGTCTCATTTGTCTCATTTTAAATGCAAGATATAATATAGCACAAAGAACAGAACTATCTAGTAAATAAAATGTTAATAATATGCTAGCAGTTTTTGCCAAGTAGATTCGAATAGAACATTGCAACAGATTGGCATTAACTGCGCATTAAACTTATATTCTGCCAAAACAGTTTGCTGATATAATCTAGTTGGCATAAGTAAATCTAGTCAGCATAAATAAATAAAATCTCTCCTAACTATTTAAATGTATATTATTCAATTATTCAATTAATGAAATGGCAGCTCTTTTGCTATCATATATATTTTTTATGTTGATAGACTTATTTTTAGACTATTATTTTTTTGCTTACATTTTACTGATAAAATTTGTAAATGTTGAAAAATGATTATCTGAAATAATTACGAATTCCGATTGATTAAAATAAAAATTTTCTGAATTTAAGATGCACATATTTTTTCATTTAATTCTAATTTTTAAAAATTAGAATACAAAATCTCTATAATATTTCTAATAACATTAAGGATAAGTAAAAAGAGCTTCATAAAGAAATATTAATGTTTCTCCGAGATTAAATTCAAGCAAATCAAGACTACATACAACAAGACATAATACAACCATGAACATAATACAGTCACATCTTTGCTGAGAAATATTTTTCCAAATAGAGATGATTTATTTGCATTGCTACCTGCACTTGAGTTTTTCATTCTTTCTTCCTTCTTTCAACATTCGCATATATATTCTTTTCATTTCAGGTGCAAAAAATGTTAGGAAATATTTGTTATTTGTCCTGTTCAGGACATATTCAATCTTTGCACAATTTTTTAACAGTTTAAGAACGAATAATGACGTCATATAGTTTAGATCACTTAGATTATTAGATCATATAATTACTTTAGAGAACTAGGATTAAATGAATAAAATGATAAAATGAAAATAACCATACCTCAATATTCAAGAGAGAGATATGTCGAAAATATAAATATAGAAAAATTATTTCATAATAAATTTATTAATATAACTTAATATTTTTTTATATATGTTTTTCTTATACATTTTTAATTAGCCTAAGTTCATGTCGTTTAATTGATTCGGGATTGTTTGTAACTCAATGTTATTTGAATCGCGTTTTACACTTTTACATTTTTGTTTTATTGTATCATTCCGTTTGTTGGACAATTATTTCGTTACTGACTTTCGGTCTGTATCGGTCCAATTCAGAGGCTTTATTCTTGAGACATATCTTATACAAAAGTCTTATAGTATATGTTATATATGTTACAGAATTTTCATATGCGATATGTTTCAAGAATGGGCCTCTGGACCACAGCCATTAATAAAGAAGAAGAAGAATGCTAGAAAATGCAAACGAATCTAAAAAGTCTAATAGTGTTTTCGCTTGCAATGAGTTATGATCCGGATTATGCCGTCACACTGCACTTTCTACATCTAAAGCGAGATGAAATAGGATGCGCGCGTTGGAAAAAAGAAGAAAGCGAGTGTAGGAAGTACACTATGACGGCATTAACCTCAATCAAAACCTACTGTAATCGAAAACATATAAATAACGCATGATCTATGAAGTTTGTCACGTTATCTGCATGCCTAGTATTTTCTTTCACTTAAGAATGAGATAGACTTATACGCAAACTTTTTTAAAAAAAGGAAGAGCGAGAAACGCCAAGTGCAGGAAGTGCAAACAATGTAAACAAAGCCTTTGTTTTTTAGCTGATTAGAAGAATCAGGAAAATCGAAAGAATCGAAAATACATATATCTGTTTTTCTAATCTTCTTTTTCCTGAAAATGTGGAGTTGTATAACAACCAAAATATTATACAATTAAAATATCGTGCTAAAAGTAGAAATTTGTCTCATTCATAAGATGTCTCAACGTTCAACATGGATTCATCTTCATGGAGAGTATGTGTATTAAAATATTGTTGTAAATATTGTGTTATTATTATTACTAAATATTATTCTGTAGATCTTTTACAATATATAAAAAATAATGCCATTAAAGCAAATTTACAAACTTTAAAAATTAATTCTATTCTTATTTTTTTTATATTATTCTTTTAATCATTTCTTTAATATTCCTGATAGATTAATCATAAATTATTGTTCAATACAGCAATTATAATTTCTTGTGTACTTTAATTTAATAGATTGCTGCCAGGATTGGAAATAATAGACCAACTAGATAATAGTAAATTCCGATCTCTTATCGTTTATGTGTGCGAGGCCATGCATTATGATCCTGAAGAAAGAATATTTAATAAGGATCGAGTGGAACAACTGCTGCTTTCTATAGGCTTGACAAAAAAAAGTTAACTATTGCACTAAATACTATTAAAGATATTTATGCAAACGCTGCTTATTACGTCATAAAACCATCAGATTTAGAAGCAAATATCAAAAGTATTTTTAAATTAAATGAAGACAAACTGTCGATCTTGGCACAAGGCTGGATGGCTTATGGAGCAGGCATTATAAAGAATTTTAAGCAACGTTCTATTTTTCCTACTCAGGTATCTATTTTTATATACAGATTTATATAAGTGAAAGAATATAAGATATATATAAGTGAAAGAAAGATATTTAGGAAATTATAAAATTAATGATGAGCTATTGTGTATATTGGTCATAATAAATGAAAACAATTTAGAACTATTCTATTTCTATATTGATTGAAATATAATTTTTAATATTTCTTGTTACTTGTCATGATAAGATATTCTATAAGCGGAGGCATCTTAGTAAGATAAATTTTAACTTAATTAGAGTGATTATTTTATAAATTTCTTATCGTTTTGCAATGCTCATTTTCAATTTTATAATTTTGATTTCATTATATATATATAAATAAAAT